ATGGAACACCAGCGTTAATGGGCTTGTAATCGGAGCATGCACCGTCTACTTCAAGAGTCGAGTTGGTCGCAAAGAGAGAGTCCAGTAGATCGGCTTTGTCCTTTGCGGCATGGGGCAGTGAGTCGTCCTATGGAGTGGAGAAATGGCTGGCAGAAGTTCCTTTGGACTAGTTTCCCACCAATTCTGCCGATGTGCTCTGACTTTGCCTTGACAATGACACTTTTGAAGGACCTGGAAACAGAATTATACTTCTTAGTTTAATTCTTTGCAGAATTATACTTTATCTCATAAAAAAACTCTGTGTCTTGAGTGTCTAGTGTGCAGCTGGTTTTGGTTTACTAATGAGTTGCCGTATGCATTCGTGAAATTCACTCAATACTCCGATTGGAATATTCAGTACTTATGTAATTTTACCGTAACTCTGACCAAACTTGTTTGAATAATGATATCTTACAATTATTTCCAGTCCCCAATATAAAATCTCGGGAACATAAAATAAGTCAATAAAATGCGAAACAATACGAAAACTAGTTTAATTCAATTGTTTGAATAATTGTTTGTTTATTCATTACGAGCCAGTGCTCCATTACTATCCAGCCTGATAGTAAGGAGTAACGTAGCCAAATATTATGAAGCGCACACACCGACTTTTCTGCGAAGTCTCAAGGCTCCAACTGAAATCCAGCACTGTATTTGCAGCATTAAGCTGATTTGGAGACCTATTTTACACACTAACAGTTTGTGGTTCTTCTGTGTACACTAATCGTTTTAGTTCGGTACACAAATAAAAGTCTGGAGGTGTTAGATCTGTTGATCTCACTGACTAGTTCACATGTCAACCACGACCTATCCACCTATCACCGAACAGGCTCGTCAATATTAGACACTCGACGTTAGAGTATTGGGTACATGTTTCCGATACACACGCGGAAACATAACATTTTTTTTGTTTCATTATTAATTAATGATGTACATGTACTGCTTCTGAACTGTCAATGCGTAATCAGTCCAAGACTAGTGCATGCATATTTTCCCTTGAATTTGGATATTTTTTTGAAATGTGTGTAAAATGTTTATAGCAAATAAATGATTCTTTCTTTTTTTTCTTATGGACTCTGGCCTCAAGACATTCTTGTCTTTGAAGACATCCCCATTTAAATCGAATGGAAAGACTTTTGGTCCTGGTCTAAATTTAAACTTGAGGAATAAGAGTACTAAAACAAGTACCCACTGGAAATTAAGAAACAGAAACCGAGGGACGTTTCACAAAGTTTTGTTTTCATAATTTCCATAATCATCCATGATCAGGCCCGCCTTCTAGCTATTTTGACTAAGGAATCTACTCAAGGGTTAATTAAATCATCACACATTATATAACAGGAAAAGCTTTCGAACAGCTGAAGGAATCCGGTTAGGAGCTAGACTCAGAAGGATCTGTAACCCTCATATTATCTATCAGTGCTCCTTGTGGTAGCAACATCGACGAATCCACGGTCTTTCATATAAAAACAGTACTGGTAGATTGTCACGTCATGATTTTCTTGCTTTCATAACAGCTCTTGTTCCTACAAATGTCCGCTCGATTTTGGAGCCTTTTGAAATACTCAAAGACGATTGCAGGAGATCCTTCGGTATAATTTTAGTTCCTTAAGAGAAAGACAAAATCCTAATATGGGGAGCTATGTGCACAGAAACTTTGGCATCTCATATCAGTACTAACTTGTTGAGAGCCGGAGACGCAAATATGATTCTCTGAGAGATGAATATTTATTTTTGCTACTTGCTGTAGACTATAAGTCCGTGAGCTCTACATGCGGTGAAGTTTCTAAAGGAACTGTATCCGCAATTTGTCGAGCTGGTAATAGATTGCTTGTTCTTTTCTCGCTCAAAAGCTAGCGGTCTTAGCACTATACCGGCGCCAGTATAATTGTACTATAAGTTTAGTATTAGTTGTTTTTTTAATAATAATTTTTGTATACCTAAGATTGATTCTTCGATAGAAACTCTGTAATGCTGTTTCATGCACATCTCCGGTGCTTAGGAGTCATATCAATTTCAACCTAAGACCTACGAAAACAAAAGTGATAATTGCGTGTGTTCCCTTGTTACAATAAGCCCAACATATCCATGTGGTGCGAGGAATGATTGTGAGTCTGATGAATGAAGTTTAATTGAAGTGTACATGCCATGTCAATTTTGCCATAGATTTGAAACGTTACAGACGTGCATCAAAGAAAAAAAAACGAAAGCTATACTAGCCATATACTTAGCCATAGGAGAAGACATAAGACCCCTTTTTGCGAGAAACTTAATATATAGTGATACAGCTACGCTGTAACTATGTTTTGGCTGCAGTACTAGGAGTTGAGCCGACTGGGGAAGGACTGGTAATGCTACTGCGTTTCGTATGATGAGTGTAGCGAACCGAAGAACCTTTTTACTGACAACGAGGAATTAATTCCATTTTAGTCCTCAGAGCGAGCAACACAAATGCGTTAAAATTTTTAAATAAAGATAGATGTAGATGTCTTTAGACTACAGCATCCCTTACCATCAGAAGAACTTCGTATCACCTCGTTCATAAAAAAGAAACAATTTATAATTTTATCGCAACTCACGTTTAAGCAACTAGACAGTGTTACCGGAATGCTGCTATGTTACGTATGGTGAGTGTAGGGAACCGGAGACCCTTTTTACTGGAAATGAGGCATTCCACTCTAGTTCTCACGGGTAACAACCGATCTGCATTTTCATTCGTAGTCGAGGATAGATGTAGATAGATGTCTATGGGTCACAGCATCCACTTACCATCAGGTGGATTGTGTGATCTTTTGTCATTCCTAAGTTATATAAAAGAAAGTACCCAAGTTTTAATAAAGCAGAATCCAAATTAATGTAAAACTTCAATTCTGTAGACCGGTAATGGATAGAAATATGTACTATATTACAGTATAAGGTTATGTACCTTATCACCCTGAGAGTCAGAGATCAATCCGAATACTGATAAGAAAACAAATGATTTTTTAAATCGTCGTCGGTAAAAGAATATTATTTATAAATGTATAAGATAATTAATTTAATAATAAGTAAAGAACTAAATACAGTAAAATGATTTCCACATAACAGAGAGAGAGAGAGAGACAGAAAGTCGATGCTAAGACATTATGTCTTGTATAGAAAAATTAAGGCCCCGACTTCAGAAGCTGTTAGGTAGAAAATGTTTTATTTTTTGAGTTCCTTGAAATTGGTTTTTCTTATTTATTAAAGGTTTATTTTTTGACCCTTTTGAACTAGAAGGTCGTCTAAATACCTAAAGTAAAAACTTTTCACCAACAACCATTAGCGATGCATTTATTTTTACAAATGTATATAAAACTGATCCTAAATTATAATCTACTAAATAAAAAAAGGAATTCTCAAAACCGGTAAAAAAGTATTAGAATTGTGGAGCTATCGTAACACATAACATAATATTACACACAAAAACATTGAGTCGAATCAAGAACTTCCTCCTTTTTTTTTGCTAAGAATAATTTTACTTTCTTGTTACTTAATTGATCTAATATCTATTCCTTTTTAACCCTATGGTGATGCTAAATCAATGTCCACATACGTTTAATCGAAGAGCATACAAAAATCAATGCTTGTTTATGTACTATGTTTGAATGAAGTGGTTTTAACTAATACGATAACGTTTTGTATATTTATATTACCGTTTCAGAACCCGTACCGTTTCTTTTTATTCAATATAGATTATAAATAATACTTTTTGCAAGTCACATTTTTTTAATTTATCACTTGTTCGGAAAAAACCTCTATCCTGGGAAGAACCAGCAAGAAACCCAGCGGAACCATTTTAAAGGAAATAAAACTCCACTCTTAAGTGTAAAAGATTAGGGAATGAAGATTTTAATGCAACTGTTTAGTCGACGTTGATATGTTACGCTATATTATGGCTATAGTTATATAATTAATCGATATAATATGTGATATTACTTAGTCCACTTAAAAGGGTCAAATATTAAACATTTATTAAGAAGTATTAAAAATTACGTAATTGTTGCTGAAGTTGTGGCGTTAATTATACTTTACACTATGTTCTGGACTGTCTCGTTGGTCAGGAAGTTAGCGGTGTCTCAAACCCGTGCCTGAGAACGCACATAAGGCCATTGGTCCTGCGCCAATCTCTCTCCGCTTGTGTCGGTTTACCGTCCCATCGGACTATAACAGTGAGAGAATAAAGAGTGCACCTGTGCCTGCGGATACACTTGGGCACTATAATCTTATATTTTACTTTTATATTCCGTGAGGTTGTAATTTATTTTATGAGAAAAGAATTGCGAAAAATCTCACAAAATTATGTATTTATTATTGTGTAGTATATGTAGTGTGGGGTGTGAAATAAAAGAATCTCTCTAAACACGTTTTCTAAAAATTATAATTCGTATTTTAAACCGGAGTAACTTAGGAGCTAAGCACTCACGTAAATTTCACAGTACGTAAGCGATCCAAGTTCGGTTCCCGCTGACACCAATGACGTTCAACAGAAAATTAACAACATCAGTTTAAGTGCGCATTTACCATCTGCTCCGGGAAAGTGAGGAAACCTGTATGTCTAAGGAATGAAACATTTAGAGAACTTGTGAAGATCGCCACTAAGCACAGGAGCAGCGCGGTGTTCCAACATAAACAGAGCCAGTGCAGCAGTAGTGGAAAGTGTATAAAATATAACTTAAATTAGTTTTACCATCTGTACGAAAATAAAAAAAGTTATATTTAAGTTTGAAAAGAAGTATTTGGCTACTCTGTAAGCCTCAGCATGTATCACTGTCAGAAAGATCACACGTTACTAAAAAGAAAACACCTGCAATAAGTACCAAGACAAACAAAGAAGCCGGCATTGTTTGTTGTATTTATATTTTTAGATCCCATTGGGACATACAATAAAATATAAGAGCTATCTGTATACACGAACTATTTAAACGTAACGACGGAATTAATTGTCTCAACTCGATTCCGCGACCGGCAACCGAAGACGCGATACGCCTCTGCCAGTTATAATTTCCTTTATAGTCGTACTCATAGCCGTCCTTGGTGAAAAACCAATTGACAATCGGGTATGTAATTTGTTATAAGTGTTATAAGTTTAAATAACAATTTTTTATTATATCATTTTTTTCTTCATATTTTTATATTGTCATCTGATTCTGAGATAAGTTTAAAATTTCCACTCTCTTATCCAGAGCTGGACCGCCGACATTTTTTGTGCAGAAGAAGCTAAGAAAATCAATGTAAAATTTTGTGGTAATTCAATTTTCCTCTGTTTAAAATACAAAGAGGTGGAAGTTATTTCCCAAGAAATTTGGATAAAATTATTGTGTGGTAATAAATAACCACACCTCAAAAGGCTTTAAAACTTTGCACAATGTTTGGATCATCAACATATCATTTATTTCATTCATTACATCATTATATTTATGAAGCAGCGTTTTTCAAGACGAACTTCAGTAATAATAAATTTCGATCTCGTCTTACCGCTGATCTGATATTATAGATTAAGAAATACAATTTTTCGTCTTAACGTAGGGTACTTAATTTGTATTGTTTCATTAGATACATCTATTGTTATTTACATCTTTATACACTAGTCATCATCTAGCAAACGCACCTCAACGATTTACATGATATTTTTTAAACGGACCCGCAATTAACTAATCGGCGATCCCCGTATCTAGCTCATCGAGAAGTTAGTTTAAAATCAATTCCTAAATTCAACCCGTACATGCATGGGAGTTAACGTCGTAAAATAATTATTTAATTCATTTTTAAAAAAATGCCTAAAGTGTTTTTTCATTCGTGTACCTATTAAATAATAATGTTTGTCCATTATTTAAGAATTTGTTAATAACTTGACAACAGTAGTGTAGTGACAACTAGTATTTTGTACATATGACCTCAATCGGTCTAATCGGTCAGAAGTTAAACGATCACTAAAATCCGCACCAAAATTATGTTTTTTTTTTTATAAAAGTGAAGTAACAGACTTACAGTCTACCTGATGGCAGGCACCTGCAGCCAACTTCATACAGAGAAGGCCAAAGAATGCAAGAAAGAATATAAGAAAGAAAGAAACATTTACTTGCACATAATACAGGTAGAATGAACGCAGTAGAAATGCGGTCGTTAAGGAGTATGTTAGGGCTGAATCTTAATGACAGGGTAAGAAATTGTGTAATAAGAGAAGAGTGTGGTTTGCAAGATGATGTTGTGACCAGGATTAAGAAAGGAATGCTTCGGTGGTTTGGTCATGTGGAAAGAATGAATGAGGAAAGAGTGACAAAGAAAATTTATGTTGCAGAAGTGAATGGCAGAGTCGGAAAAGGGACGTCCTAGGCGAAAATTTATCGACCAAATTGGCGATTTATTGAAAACGGGCCAAATTAGGAGTACCCTTAACCGACGAGCATGTATGCGGAGGTGTATGGATGTGAAGGAGGCGAGAGAGGTGTGTCAGGATCGTGCCAAATGGAAGTCTGTAGTCTCTGCCTACCCCTCTGGGTGACAGGCGTGAGTGTTTATGTTGTATGTTATGTTATAATACAGGTGGTGCCATATTTAACAATGGTGCATAATTCAAGCTACATTCTGCTTGTATTATGCATGCAAATATTTATAAATATATAAAATAATTAAAATACTGTTATATTACTAACAAAATGTCAAATTATATTCTTTTTTAGCATATTTATTATTATTGTTTTACCTTATATTAATTTTTTGAAAATAATCATATTATAAGTTAGTTTCATGTTGCGTGAGCTTTTCTATCGTATAAAAGCATTTATCCACTAGCCATTTTCATAAATTAATTTTAAAATATTTAAATGGAAGTTGCTTTAGATTTAGACTCTTAGGCAGTTTATTAAAAACTGACATGCACATGTAGTAAATATTCTATTTATTCTTAAATTTGTTCTACAAAATGGAATCGTTATTTTAGTAGAATCTCTTAGGCTGTATTTAGTAACACGATCCCACTTGAATTTGAAAAAAAAAACGTTACAATTCCTTACAAAGACTGATATTTTCTTTATACGTGGTAAAGCCATCCTGCAGCTATATTTGTATGGTTGTAGCACGAATGGGTCGCCTCGACCGGGAAGAAACACGCTCTTACACAATAGCAGCTTAATGTTGCTACGTTTCGTACGATAAGCGTAGAGAAGGAGACCTTTTTTACTAGAAACACATCCGCATTTTGATTCTTAATCGAGGATAAATGTAGATGTTTATGGGCCACAGCATCCACTTACCATCAGGAGACTGCTCGTTTGTCACCCATAATCTATAAAAAAATCTTCAAAAACATACATGCAGCAATAAGCTGCATGTATGTTCTTGAAGTTTTCTCTATCAGCAAATTAAGATTTTTTTAAATAGAGGTTAAAAATAAGTTTCTAAAGGAGTCGAGTGGACTTACTCCACAAATAGTTCATAAACATTATTTCTTTTATGCAATAAATACTAGACCAACATCAGTCGAATATCCCCATATTAAAGCAATATCTAAGGAATGACTACATAGCCTTTATAAGCTATACCTGCAGTCTCTTCATCTAACACGGTCCCAAGCTTTCTAAGGGCGTAGTTATCCGTACTAAATTAAGTTAAGAATTTTGTTTATGACAGATTTCTTAATACCGATTGAACCTCTTTACTTATTTTTAATTTCGTGAGACGTATCTTATATGGATAAATCAATCGATAAATATAAAATTGGTCACACTTAACAATGTAGTACATTCCAATGCAGTGCCGATCAAAATCAATAACCATCCATTTGCGATATTAACGATGTATGATTACGAACTTATTACCGGTAAAAGCTTTCGCGTAGAAATCCCGCGTTAAATCTTGTTTTTTTTAACGTCTTTTCATATTAAAAATCTTCTCGTAAAATATACTATTAAAAAGGAAAACTAAATCTTAAAATTTCTTACATTTAGATATAATGAATAAAGCACTAAATTGAAAACAGTTTTCTCACAGTTTAGTTTAGTTTTAGTCTCAACAGTTTTATAATACAGTCCTTACTACCTTTTATTCATGTCTATATAACCGGCCTATTGGAAGAAACTTATTATGAAATAAGTCTTTCTTTTTATAGAATAGGTGTAAGGAACACTGTCCAAAAGAAGAATCAAAATGCAGAAACCGTTGTGACTTCTTCGAACTAAGTTGGAATGCCTCATTTTCAGTAAAAAGGATCTCCAATTATCCACACTCATCAGACGAAACACGGCGTCACTCCTCGATCAAGCCGACGCTTTTGTGCTACAATCATAATGTGGGTGCACAGTAGCTCTACCATATTTTAGAAACAAACTTGTTTTAATTGTTTATGAGTACATAAATTGCTAAACACTCGTTCAAATTCTGCGCCGTTGGCACTGGCCTCGCGGATCTAAGCCTTGCCTACAATTCATCATCATCATCATCATTCATCGTCATACAACGCATTCGAACCTAACCATGGTCCACCTATAAATAACGATTAACGAAGACAAGCTGTGAAGCATCAAAAGTATAATAATAAGTATGAGACTTCCCATCTAAGGCCTTTGCGGCGACAACACATCAATGGGCTTGTTTTCTTAAAGTTGGTTGTGTTTACCTTCGGTCGCTGAATACTGCACGATCCCATATCAATCTCGTAAGAAGCTGCAGAGGGACACTGAAACAGTAAATTGGCTGCAGCATAACCTTCATAACAATGTGGTTAGAACCAATCCTACCAGTCGCGAGCACTGGCGTAAAGTAGTTCTGAGAGTGTGTGCAAAAATCGCGTGAATTAATTCCTTCCTCTCCATTCCATCATGGTCTCCAAATGTTTATTTGAGTTAAGATACTGCTATGGACTTGGCACCCGTTCAGATCTTAACTCTTTTACCAGCGAGCCGACAAAACGTCGTTTCTACTGAATTTTTTACGTTTACGTTTTAGGTGGGATATTTTATATCCTGGACGAACAGGTTTCCTCACGATGTTTTCCTTCCCCGCCATACATGTGGTTAATCAGAATTTTTAATTTATATAAACAATTTCATTGGTGCCGGTGAGAATCGAGCTTGCGGCGAGCTCTTATAATTATACTGTAAACAAATACTAAGACTATATTATAATAATAAGCAAATCGTTAAGTAACAATGTAATATTCATAGACTACAACCAACTAGAACTGATGTTATTTAACATTTTATATACCTACTAAATATAGCTAACTTTTACCAGCGACTTCGTCCGCGTAGAACTTAAAACTCTGCAGATGTCTAATAGTGGCCTTTTAAATTCAGTTTTTTCTTTATATTATCTCGAAAACTATTTGCGATATGAAAGTGTATTTATTTAAAATATAAAGATCCATTAATTTCACGTAAAAATGTATTATCACCTTCTCCTCTAACATCATGATTTTGTTATAAAATTATGTAGAAGTAAAAAAATGTTGAAAATTGTCTTCGCATCAAAACTATAAGGGATAGAGGATAAAATTACCTGTTCAAAACTTTTTCAAACTCATATTAGTTTACGAGAAAATCGTCAAAAATCATTTATTTTTTATAAAAAACATAGTTTTTATAAAAATGTAACCTATATCAGAGGTGGCAAACCAATGGCCATAGATGGCACAATATTTTGGGCACGTCACCGATCACAAAGTTCACTATAAAGTATTTATATTACGAACGAACGCGAGTGATCCTAGTTACATCGTAGCCTACTATTGCTAATGACGCACAGTTCGTTTCATCATCATCATCATTACAGCCCTTCACAAGTCCACGCCTCCTCCAAGGAATGCATAGTTCATTTACGTATAGCATAATAGTCAATTTCGTTGACACAACTGTATTTAAAAGTTCATTTGTGTTATATTTAGGATTTTACAACCCCAATATAAGTTATTTGTCATCTAATCTGCAACAACAGAAGTCACACTAATGTTACTTTAATTTGAATTACGCGTATAACTAAAACATTATTATACATTTCAAAATGTATTTTGCGATATAAAATAATAAAAGTCTCAATTAAAAAAATCTTTATTTTTTTAGTA